ATGATGATATTTTTGCTCGCCAATATATGTAACAGAAAGAAAAATTCTTTTCTCTTGCCTTGTTCGAGTCAGACGAAGTCGATAATAAATATTTCTTTTCGTTGATCACGGAAAAGAAAAATATTGAACGTCAATCCATCTCCATCGAATTCATCATGTAAGCAAAGGTCACTATATACATAGAAGAGAGAGGATACATATATTTCTGTAAACAATAGTCGCTTTCTTGTCTTTTGGTTTATACTTTATGTAGTTTAATATCAATTTATATATTAATTTAATGTGAACAACAGCTATCGACTTTATATAAAAACTTGATAGCATCTTTACTAATATTCTCAAAGCAAGCGATACTAATGTTAGCAATAAATTCGAGTACAGGAAGTACTCGAATTCGTTACTGACATTACCTACCTTAATATGCTACCTGGATAATCAAATAATAAAGTTAAGTCGCATTGGAACAGACAATACTATATAGAAGATGACTTCTTAAAAAATTGACTCAATGGATTATCAGCACATTCGCCTTCTAAATTGTGATATTCCATTCTATTTATTATTACTGAAATAGGTTAGAACAACTAAATGTATGATTATACTCATATTGATCTTATATTTCACATAGAATTGAATTTATTCAAAAGAGATATCGCTAGTACAAATTTTATTGTTAACTCTTATAATCTTGAAGATTGAGGAATGAAGCTATGTAAATAAACGAAAAATTTTCAATATTGTTGTGATCGAAGATATTGATTAACAGTAAATTACGATTTGAAATTGTCTCGACTAAAGAATAATGATGATGTGCTTTGAATCACGCAGGTTGTGAGAGAAGACCAAAAAAGCTTATCGATGTTTTCTGGTCTTTTGATTACAAAACAAACTAGTCAATTTGCATACACCAGAACGGTATATTCTTTACTTTTTATTATTTATGTTTATTTATAAATATAAATTCTAAGAAATTTAATTTATTTTTAATATAAATTAAATAAAACAATAATTTTTTCCATAATACCTTAGGTAAGAAATATATCATATTTTTAACATTTTATTCATGTAGTATTCATCGATTATACATGATTTTCATTCAAGTAAGAGTTTCTAGTATGAATGTCACTTATAATTTTTGCACCTAAGAATGGAAACCGAGTGAAGTTTGCAGAAAAATATGAACTAAGAGTGTATAAGTCTTGAAACATGAAAGAAATGCGAACAAAACGCTATTTCAGAGAACTTTTTATTTCTGCTACGGAATGTCTCGATAAAGAGTATTAGAGTATGCGAATTATTGGCTCAAGGGTCACCAGAAGGCTGACATTTTGTATTAAGAGCAAATATCGTTTTGAAAATACTGCTTTTACAAAGTAAAACGACAAAGGTTTTTCTATTCCACAACAAGAAGTAATATTCTGTTTGCTTAAAAGAATTATCTCCTCTGTCTCGACAGTAATTTACTGGAAAGTTTAAAATTAGCAGCAGCATATTCAGGAAATAATATGTGAACCAAACATCATTGTACAGAAAGAATTCTTCATCAGTGCTATGATTGGGCTGATATGGGTGTGGGTGTGACTGTGACTGTGACTGTGTATCAGTGAAGCATCTACATATATACTCTTACACTCACACCCACACCCTATTGCTAGATGTAGTTTTTCATGCTGATTCTGAATAACGTACTTATTTTCAGTAGGACCTATTTATGAGCCACAAATCTGTAGAAATAAGTTAAATGTATATTAGTTATAATTATTTAATTCTTATTTATTTAAATAGCATGATATATTAAGCGTAACAGAATAATGTATAATTAACGTTAATTTTAGTCGCGATGGTTTAGCATGTGGTACATGGTTTAAGGTAAAGCTTAAGAAATTTATTTTTTCATTTTTGCCAATCTTAAAATGTCTAAACTCTCATATTTTAATTTATAATTAAAATTCATTCATAATTATTTAATTGAAAAGGATGAAGCATATTTGAATTGATTTTTCTATCAGATTTATCAATCATACAATCACACGTTAGTATTTTGCTCTAAATTGATTCGCTGCTGTCTTCTTTATTCTTTGGATAACTCTTATTTAATATAACTTTATTTTTTCGAAAGACAAACCAGAACGTGCAGAATAACCTGATCGTTAGAAGCCACAATTAGATAAATTCTGTCGTTTACTTTTAATTCGTTCAATCACACCAGCACATTTTGTTAAATCAGTCAATGATTATATAATTGACTCGTTAGTACCCAAATATGGTGAAGATGTTGTACTTGATATGGAAAAAATGTGGAATGAATCTGATAAAGGTTCTCCAATGATATGTTTCTTATCTATGGGCTCTGATCCTACTGTACAAAGATTATTAGCTCTAGTTTATCCAAATGGAATTTGGGGATTATCACAAAATTGTCATTTGTCATGAGAATTTTGTGAAGAATTTTTATTACAATTACCTTAAACTACAGATCGTATTCATCCCGATTTTAGTTTATGGATAACAACAAAAGTTCATCCTGAATTTCCTATTGGTCTTTTACAAATTTCAATTAACTATACCGCTAAAGCACCATAAGGTGTTAAAGCTGGTTTAAAACGAACATTTAATGGTTTCACACAAGAAAAACAATTAGAATCTAATACATGAAAAAATGGCGTTCTTTATTATATGCTGTAGCATTTTTACATATAATTGTATTGTACAAGAATGAAGAAAATTTGGACCACTTGAATGGAGTATAACATATGAATTTAATCAATCAGATTTTAATGCAACAGTTCAATTTGTTCAAAATTATTCAGATAAATTGGATTCATCGAAGGCATGAAAGTTATTTTATTCGGTTTTACTGATTTGAGTCTGCTTTTTTCTAGCAAATACAATTGAAAACTATTCATTATATGATTTCAGAAGTACAATATGGAGGTAAAAATAATATATAAGAAGGAAATAAATCAATGTTTTTGACATTTAGGTCGAGTAACTGATGATGTTGATAAACATCTTCTTAAAACATATGTTAAAAGTTGGTTTCATGGTGAAATATTGGAACCTGCTTTTGAATTTGAAGATAAACCATCTCGTATATCAGGAATGACCCGTATTGAAGATGTTTTTGATTATATTGATACAATACCAAATGATGATAGTGAAAAAGCATTTAGATTAAGTCGATTAGCTAATGATGGGTTTGTAAAAACAATCAAATAAATTTCATTAATAATCTTCAATTTGAATTCATTTTAGATATCAAGAAGGTACAACAAGAAAAGTTCTTCATATAATTTTAAGTATTCAACCAAAAGAAGCTCCTGGTGGTACAGGTGAAACGCGTGAAGTTGTAACATGCCGTTTAGTAATTGAAACATTAGAAAAATGACTACCGGATTATATTGCCCATGAAGTTAAAGAACGTCTTGCAAAATTAGAACCAATGAATATATTTCTTCGACAAGAAATCGATCGTTTTCAACACGTACTTAATGCTGTGAGCCGTACATTAATTGATTTATAATTAGGTATTGATGACACAATTGTTATGAATGAAGAATAATATGATGCACTCGATAGAATGTATGATGGGGAAAAAAACATCTGTTTGGTTAAAATTATCAACATTAGGTGCATGGTTTACAGATTTATATATACGAAATGAAAAATATGGATCAGAGGTGTGCGATCCACGGATTGGATCCCGCGGGATCGGCGGGGCGGGTCGCGAATTTTTACAAAACTGCGGGGCTGACGGGCGAGCGGGGCGGGTGAAATAAAAATAAAAGGCGTGAGTTTCGGGCGGGGCGAGTATAGATTTCCCAGTCAGACAAAAGTCTTAAAAAAACACGTTAAAATTCCGTTAAAACGGCGTTTTAACGATAGCCATCGTAAATATGCCGTTTTAACGGAAACTTAATGCGTTTTAACGCGTTACACTATGTAAGCGTTTATCATTCACATAGTGTAACACGTTAAAACGCATTAAATTTTCGTTAAAACGGTGTTTCAACGCTTTTGTTTAGACTTTTGTCTGAATGGTATGTAAAGATTTTCANCGGAAAGCACCGGAACTTGGCAGGAATTCGCCGGAAAAGTCCGACCGTATTTTTGACCGGAATACTGCTTCCATTTCCTCCATGTCTCTAATGGCACCCACAACCTGTTTTATGTAGTATTTATATATATTATTGGTGTAATTAAATATTTTTATCAGATAAATTGTTCTTTTCTCATTTCCTACAACTTTGATGTAAACAAATGGATAATGGTAAGGGACATTTAATAATTCTACACTAAATATTATGGAATATTTCATATCTCCGTTGCTTTACTCAGATAGTTGAACTTCTGAGGCAATACTTGTAAGGATTCAATCGTGTGTGTTCAGAATTTACAGTGTCAGAAAAAAGAGAGATTCAATTAAAATATTTTCAGGAGAGATACAGAATCAGCAAGATTTAGTGATTCTCCTATCTGACAACCATGCCCATATTCAAGCTATCAGATGAAAGACAGTTATTGAGAACAAAAGTGTATAAATAATAACAACCGTTTATGACAAATGTTAACGTAGATCAGGCTGACGTTTTTATTGTTATATTTCTTTTATCTCAACTGAGTAATAAGCTTGATAAAGGGAGTAAAACTTGTATCAGTATCGTAAACTTTTAGGAACTTGACTTAACTTCGAATTTCATACGAGAAATCATGGAACAGTGAGTATCTGATGGTGTCGAATAAGTAGCAGGCTGTTTCTTATCTGTCTTCGAGACATTTTGAAAACATGTTAAAGTTTACTTTTGATTCGGTTTCAGATTAACATCTATTCAATCATCGATTTGACACAGTTGAAAAAGGAGTTCATTTTTGTTAATAATGGTTTGATTGAAATGAAAATGTTCTAAAAAATTCTACAAAAAAATTGCATCTTTTAGTTGTTTGAGATGCATTTACACCATGTTGTTCATAATTGAATTTTGCATTGTGTGGAATATGAAACTCATGAGTTTCAAATGATAAGTCAGAGTTTTAAAAGCAGTATTTTTATTGATGAGCCCTTAGAATATCATCGAATTTTAGTTTGTAGTCTTTTCTACTGAATAATCTTATGAAGAGCATCGAAACGATCATGCGAGCCATTTATTCAACGCTATCTGATATTTTTATCTATGCTACTGGCTCATATATTGTCATTTTACTTTCAGTTGTATGAAAATTACTATAACGGTTATCTTTATAATACTTGCTCTGATCTACGCCAGTTTGATCATAATAAAACTTGTAGTGTACTCCAAATGGCAAAATGAACCATGTCTAATTGAATCAATGGTAAAAACGTATTTGATAGCTAGTGGAATAGTTGATATTCTATGGCCTGTTCTTTTTGGAATCTTACCTTTTTTCGGTGACGATGCCTTTACTACTGTCATAAATACCTATCAAAAATGGAAAAAAGAACCCGGGGGTACATGGCAAAAGGATGGAATTGAACACGAGAAATCAAGAGGTAAGTCACGATCAAAACACTTGAGAATGAGTTATGACTGCTGTTGTTTTCCCTTTTAGGCATTGGTACGTTGACTTTTTATGCGGCTTGCATCCTTCTTCTGGGAAGTTTCGCTCTTTGGTGTTGTGGAAATGCTTGGGTTTTAGCCAATTACAAACACGTCCAATATCATGATCCAACTAACTTAAATTACTGCTATCCATCATTATTCAAAGGCGCATTCGCCAGTGCAATCATTGCAGACATCTGGTGCGGATTTTTGGTATTAGGCATATTCCTTTACTTTTTCTTTAAATGAATTACGTAGAATTTGTTATTGCTACAATCTTCTTGCTATTTTTATCCTTGTGGTGAAAACTGTAGTGTTTTTGACAAACTTCAACAAAGTCAACCATAACATCATAATTAATCATATTATATGGTAGTTTTTAAGATGAAAGATGAGTAGAATTAATCTTGATTTCTTGAGTAATTAAGTTCAACTATAGAATCAGCATAACTGATCAAGTTGACATAACTCCATAATTAAACAAAATATGAGTCCTTGCTATGACTTTCACATGGAAACCAAGTGAAAAATATCTAACAGTAGTAGATATTATTCCTATTTTAGGTCATTCTTTAGCGGCAGTTTGACAAAATAAGATATTAAGACAAGTTCCCCAGAATTTTATTATATTTTATATACCCGACGTAGTTTGCTTGGCATAGGTGACTTCATCTATTTGAAGATTGTAAAATAGTCTTTTCAACCTTGGTTAGTCTGTCTCTTTAATGAAAAAAACACTTGTCTAATATGCTTGAGATCGGATAATAGTTTTATGATGTTTATTGCGTGAGATATCTGAATCAAAAATCAAAATTTTCTTCGATGACCAGGCACGATCTTCATAAAATGTCTCGTTCGCTTGGCGAGAACTGATCTAGATATCTACTCACGCGAGTCATCTTCTAATCATCCATGGTTTGCAAGGGCGAGGCGAAAACTCAACATCTCGAAACGATCCCATTGATTGATAAGGCGAATCTGGATGAGAAAAACTTAAGAGAGGGTCCATGAGACTATCGAGGATTATACCATATACCGACGCACTCGATAAAATTTAGATTTTTGATTTGACATTTCCATCTTGTTCAGCATCATCTAAAACCTATAAATCCAAATTTTTACTGCATTCGATTGAGCTGGTGAAAAGTTAGATCAATTTTACTGTCGACGACTAACAATATTTTTTGAGAAAAAATGATCAAAAATGATCAGTATAAAGTTGAAATATTTTAGCCAACAGGAGATTAATAAAAATTTTAGTGTAATATACCAAAAGATAGAGCGTGAAAAGCTGAACAAAATGGTATAGTTACATCTTATTTTTCTATGAGCAAAACTCATTTTATTGGTCAAATACTATCGATGACTGGCTATCTTTTGAGTAAGAAGCATGTAAATTTTTTCATCGTTTTATTTGCCATCCAGTCATTAAATGCGGGCCAAGAGATGTTTTTATCTTATATCGTGCAGATTTTTCTCCTCTACAAAATGATTAAGAGAAAATTCAAAAAAAAAGGTATACTCTGGGTGAAAAGAGGTTTACAATGTGAGCCACTGAGAGAACGTTTTTAAGCGAAAGGAGGAGGACCGACGAGGCTATTTTGCGGCTCCTCTCATATTTGAGTTATTTCTATAAATTATTAATCAGGGATCGTTCTCGTTCACTTTTTTCAACTTTGTTTCTCGAAAATCGACATTGACGATTTTTTTGCCTGGGGTACCCGACAGGTATCACCGAAAACAAAATTTGTTTTTTCACGAGCCAAAGCCAGATGTTATTGTAGATTTAAGGGTACTGATTACGAATATCACAATAAGAGTTCCAAAAATTCCTTTATTCCTTATAGAGCCTGAACCACTCGTTTGACCCTATTTTTCATTGTTTGGACCCTCATAGAATAATGAAACAATGAACGTAAGTGCAAAATGATTTCCTCTAACCGATAATTTTGAGTTCTCTACGAATCTTAAGTTTTTACATTGGAAAAATGTAACTTATGAACAAAAAGTACGGATTCCGGGGCAAAATTTGAGCCCTTCTCACCATATTTGTCTACCTTGAGAATGAAGAAAGTCTGCCACAACATCAAATTTTGACCGTAAGTGCAGTTTTTGAGGCTCTATCTACTGACGATCTCAAAAATAGCAGAAAAGTTGTGCAACAGGGTGAAAAGTTAAGAACACGATTAATTTCTATTAAGTTGCTGTAGGGAACCACTGTCACTAAAAAATATAAGATCGGGAAATCAACAAATATATAGTCCATCTTGTACAGCTTTATGAACTGTGCACACAGTAAAAAATATGGCTCTCCGCTCACTGTAAAAGAAAAGGTAGAATAATAAACCCCTTAGGGGTTTATGAAAGTGCAACGTAGACTAAACCCTTTTTACCGTATGTCAAAATTTTCTTAAACCCTTTCATATACCCTTAGAAGGGTTTATGAAAGGGTATTTGATTTTAATAAACCCTAAAAGGGTTTAGTCTACGTTGCCCTTTCATAAACCCTTTCAAAGGGTTTATTACTTATATCTACCAGATTAAAATTAAGGTGTTGAAACTTACTGCGTTGTCCTAGGTTTGATCATGAGATGAATTGGTTGATAGTCCAAGATGTTACCCATCCGGTTAGTCGTATGATAACAATATGAAGTAAGAAATGCTCGTTAGATCAAACGAAATTTTATAGGAAACTGAAGATGATATAAAGTTAAGCGGGACAATTGATATTACATTTTTAATTTTCATGAAAAAAATTCAAATATTTTGCATTTAAAAAATTATTTCTTTGGAACTAAAAATTATTTTTTTAAATATTTAAATGAATTAGAAAAAATTTGTTTTAGAAATATATTTCCTCAAAAAGAATTTTAAAATGATTTAAAAATGTTTTGCTCCATTTTTTCAAAAATTTTCTAACATATTTCTTATCTTTCTAGAAATCTGTAACATATATATTTCTAGTACTTCTATAAAATTGTTGATCAATTTTTTAACTCTCTATAAGTACATGTGTTAAAAATAGCACATATTTGTCTGGAGAGGTGTACAGGGTGTGAGTCATAAGAAATTCTATTAGGAGATGCAGATGCAAAATGCATGAAATCATAAATACGGCGTTTTTACGAAATTTTAAGATGTTTTAACGTCTTACAAGATGAGAGAGTCAAAATATGTATTCGCTGTAACGCGTTTTTTGAAGGCGCTTGTCTGGCTGGGTTATCCCATATGTCAGAAATCGATCTTCGTAGATGCTCTTTCCCATATATAGTTTCGACGAATCTAAATGGAAAAAAACGAAATAGCTATTTATAAAATATTTTTATACTTACATTATTTGTTTGATATTGAACTAAAGATAGAAAAATATAAGATTTATAAAGACATGTGAAACGATATATTCACTTTGAATACATTGTATCAATGGACCGGAAAAAAACGAAATAATCAGAGAGAAAGTTTTAATACTTCCGTTTTCATTTTGAATTTTTAGTGGAAGTAAAGAAAAGATATGAATATATAAGTAAATCACCCTTATTTTCCATTAGCTGTGGCGACTGACCTACATTAAAGACAAGCTGAAATTATTTTTGAAATGTTATTACTTACATTATTTTGAGCTTATTTTCAACCAAGTAAAGGAACAATATAAATATATTGAAGGAAAATGCCCACTTTAGTTTGTTCTCTTGGATGGATGTAAAAACAAACTTTTTTCCTGAATACTACAGCGAGTTTGGAATAAATCCTCAATCACCATAATATCTTTCGGATTGATTTAACTCAAAGTTATTGTATGAAGTTGCTCACGTGAAGCCATCTGATTTTGATTTTTAAACAATGTGCGGATTGAAGTTTGGCTCGAAATGATTCAAAGTTTATTAGAGAAATTAGCGCCTCTATATCATACCGTTATGTTTTACGAAACAGGTACGAAATGGAAAGTGCATCGATGCATGAATGACTGCATTGTGAGAAAATGATTGGATTAACATGTTTATTACATGAAACTGTTTGAAGTGCCCTGTGAGAAATTTTCATGATATATATATATATAAGTTGAAAAAGTGTGATCCTTTGAGCGAAGAATAAAAACCCTTTTTGATGATGGAGTAGAACAATAAATCCTTCACCGTAAAATAAAATACCCTTTGTAAGAAAGTAATAAACCCTTTTCTCGGAACCGCATATTAAAATACCCTTGGAGATAAAATCATATACCCTTCTCCCTAAATCTCAGATTAATAAATCCTTTTTTTCTTGCATCATCTTTTTTTCATATACCCTTCGTGGGTGTGGGTGTGGGTGGTGCTGTGGCTTCGAATGAACATCCACACTTTCACCCACATCCACATCCACATCCATAAATTTCGTAATCTTCATTCATAGTCAAAAACCAATCACGATATGGTGCTCCGATAACTAATGAGTGTTGCAAATACTGGCTATACACTAGCAACTGGAAAAGGCTAAGCCTATGAACCAGATGGCTATCAAACTTTTATGCTGATGGGACTTTAATGCGAACATATTTCAAGTGATAGGAACAAAAAATAAATACGAAAAAGTAATTCCTGTTCGAACGTAATATTGCATTCACATATTTAAATGTTGTCTTGCGAGTATTTAATTTTGATAATCGATTAGGAAGATTAAAATCAACTGAACTCTGTCTTTAAGAACAAAAGTTTTGGTTAAAATCGGAGTAAATTAGTTGCCGATTTTCAGCAGCCTTTGCGTAGGTCACTATGAGCATATGCAGCTATATGTTGGCTAAATTGCGGCATCATTCATTGACCTTTCGAAAGAATGCTGAGTCTTACAGAAAATATTGCTTATAGCTATAGCGAAAATTAGCAGTTCTTGTGACCTGGGTCCTGTTTAATTGATCCTTAAAGGATATTATATCGTGTTTTTGCGATGCCATACGATAGAATATAATTATCTTTTATTACAGTCATTACAGTAGAAGGAACGATACCCTACAGTATTATTCGCTAAACTTATAAAGTTATTGTATTGTTGCAAAAGTTGTTCATGGCGAATTTTGCATCTATTATTTACCATGGCTGCAAGGTATCGTAATCCTAATTTGCAAACAATTGCTTTGCTTAATTTTACTAACATTCACGATAGCTGCATCAGACTATCCAAATGGTCGTCCTAGAGTTCGGTGGTACCTCAAAGACTTTTTTCCTAGGGATAGGTTTGGTTAAAACATGACTTTCTACAAGAAAAGCAATTCTGTTATTTATTCTTAAATGTGGTAATGCGTCATACATGCGAAAATCTTAAGTTTCTTAAATAGATACGAAACTCTAAAGGTTCTTTTCGTTGGTATAAAGTCGCTAATAAACCGATTATTTTTAGTGTAGAAATGTCTCAGTAGGAATTTTTTAATGTGCCACTAACATATTGTCAATTGCAACGAATTCTCCGGTGCCGCCTACGTTTGTATTGTGTGTTCCACCACCTGTAGTTAAAGTCATCGTGTCAATGCCAGACCAGTTCAAGGTAATGTTTGTTTTTGTAAATACTTGTAGTAATAAACTCGTTGCTTGCATAGTTACACCATGTAGCAGACCACTGATAGAAACATTTAAATTATCATTCCACGCTGATGCTGCCATAGATGAATTCATTGTAAATGTTGCATTGACGATACTCATTGTGAGTGTCGTTGATGTATATATAACGAATGGAACACTTGATACGGCCGTATTATACCCACTCAAAGTACCGAAAGTTAAATATTGCAACACTGTTGCACCACTCCACTGAAAACATCCGTAACCGTTTGGGACTGGTGTATAACTTGTGCCAATTGTGTCGAAGTCAAGAAGAGATTGACACGCTATGCATATCAGACAAAGATTTATATAATCACTTAATTTGATGTTTTCTCCTGCGGAATATATATGAAATTGATTGCTTTCTATGTCGCTAGTTCTGGCACATGTAGAAATCAAAAAATGAGCATCTTATCTTTTCTCTTGTCTTCATAAATATATCTATTTTTGACTTTTCATTGTTGCTACCTACTAGATGCTATTTATTTTTCTAATTATCTTCATTGACTTTAAAAAAACTTCTAATTTGATCAAAACCCACATCTCATCATCACAAACCTCTATTATAAAACTTAAAGCTTGATATAGATTCTTTAGTTCAAAGCATTTGAGTTTGTCATATGTTTCACTCATAAAAACGGATCTTAGTACTACTCTAAACTATTAAAGTGATGCACGGGATATTATTGTAAAATGACTCTGATTATTGACACATGCTTCTCGACCATTGAAAAGAAAACTGATTTTTGCATTCGATTCAGAACATCGACACCAGCTGCAAACTTACTAGTAGTTGTTGTTGTCGAACTCGTTGTAGTAGTCATCGTTGTCGCTGCTATACGTAAATAACTCAAAATTATTTTACAATTTTTTTCAGGCTAAAAACTTATATAGATCATGTTATTTCATATATCATAGGATTATTTTCTAAATTTGAAAAAAGTATGTAGTTTTTTACTTGTCATGCTTTTGACTGGATGCATCAGCGCATAAATACCAATGAAAAGAGCCAATAAACCGGCTGTCACAAGTATTATAGCAAGAGAAATAATCCAGAGCTTGTTCGTTGATGCCCTGTAGTAAAGAGAACACACACTTAATATCATCCAATTAAACTTATTATCATGGGTCAAAGATTTTCATATATTACATTGTATGTTTCAATATTCAATTGACCAATTCCTTTTTAGCAAATAGCAGACAATATAGTAATCTTTCTTTACAATAATGTATAGAATCGTTCTGAGATTTTTTTCTCTTACTGGTGATTAGATTGTGGTGACAGTTCCGTATCTTTTGATATTACTGAAGAAATAGGCTCGGAAATTATATGTTTTTGATGATTTGATGATAGTAATGAAGTTTTGGAGAATAAAATCTCAGGAAGATTTGAATGCTTCTCAATCACTGATGGATGAACGATTATATGAGCTTGCGTATTATTGGAGTGTTCTGCCTATAAATAAAGAAAACGGTTAATGTTCGAGATTTGTTTATTATATGACCATGTCTGAAATACTATTTCTGATCTTGGTGTAATGGTAACATGAGTAAATCTTGAATTTTTCATTGTTACTCGTTGCAAAATTATACAAATATCCTTTTAGGCCAGAAAAACACAGGTCGAATATTTTAATTATGCTTGTCTTCTTTGTGAATGCTATTCAGTCCCTGATAGTAGTAGCAGAATGAAATTTCTCTCAATATAATGTTTTTGAAGAGGGAAAATGAATTTTTTCCCCTGATACCTTATAAATTCGCTTTTTGTAGTACCATGCATGATCAAATAAGGTTAAAGGTTGCTTTGCATTAAAATATGATAGCCTTGAAATTCCCTATGCTACTTGATTGAATCACACAAGAGTATTTTACATTTGCCGAAGTCAATCCTTACTGTCTTTGTGTTATTCAGACAATATCGCAAACAAATCTAGGGAATGCTGATTTTCATCCGACAAGGTTCAATACATTAACTTTTGTATAGTCATTTTCTCCATTCTGATTCATTCTATAGATTTAATTTATTTTATTTGAAAGAGTACTTCAGAATGATTGACACTGCAAGTTATTTTTTTAATTTTACTTTTTAAGACGACCAAATAGCACAAAACATCTGACAGCATGATCAGAGAACTATACTCTAATTCTACTGATATTCTCTTAGGTCATAGTGATAAAACTAAATCTATATAACCTCTCAAAATACATCATAGTTTCACTCGATGATAAAACCTAAGCAAACAATTCTTTCCTTTGCTTATGGCGTCCCTGCTCATACTTTTATTTTTACTCATGATTTTATTTTTCATTTTCATAGTTCTATCGAAATTATATAAAGCTGTTTGAATGAAAATAATAGAATGAAATCAATGCAGAAATAACTTTTCTGATGCTTTTCGTCTTGGTTGAAAATTAAAACGCTCTTCAGAGCAGTGCACAATAGAAAAAACAAACAAATTCAAGGAAAAAACTATGAATTGAAAATCAATCAAAAGCAGATTGAGTTTATATCTATGTGCATACAAATTAATCTGCTTATGTATCAGTCTTTGCTTTTCAACAATCGATTAGATCGAAAATATAGTTACAACTTAATATGCTCCAATGAATACAATAAGAGAAATGCAGAGTCAATTCATCGGCGAGTTTCGTATTATTTGTTAATAGGCTGACGCATTTATCAGGACTCTACATGGGTGTGGGTGTGGATGTGTGCCCAGGGGCGTAAGTCAGGTCACAGAGCAGGGTGGGCGTAACTATAATTTTTCTGTTTTCATGACCTAAAAAAATGAACTTTTGGAAGCAGACGGACGTAAACTTTGTTTTTCTGTTTTGGTAAACAAAAAAACGAAATTTTCACAGCAGTGTCCAAGGGCTGCGAAATAGGAATTCCTAATGTGCCGATGAATTGTCAGTGTCGCTCTGATAATTCCTAGAGGAAATGGAAATCAACTATAGGTTCCCTCACAGTTTCCCCATTCACGAAAGTCGCGATATTGCTGTTTTAAAAATAATTTTTGCATGAAATCATTGATTCTCACAACTTTGCAAGCGAAAATGAGTGTAAGAACAAAAATTATCATGAATATTCCATATTTTTACCTTTAGTAAGTGCGGAACTGTAGGAAAACTAATGAGGAATTCCTACACTGAAAAACAAAAAGGTGCCACGCGAAACCTTTGAAGTTTCGTAGAGTTTTACTGTACTATATAAGTATCCGTAGAATAATACGAAACCACCATGAGGTTTAGCCATATCCTAGGTTTCGTAAAAGACTTTAAAGAGTTTTAAAAAGTAAAAGGGTTTCGTCCTGAACCCTTGGAATTTTCTGCTACCCCAGTGTTTTCGTCAAAAACTCTTTTGGATTTGGTATTCAAAAGGGTTTCGGAATACACCTCATGTAAAATTCGTCCATCGTTAAATTAGCATTCACAATAATCATTTCTTTTTTCGACCTTCAGAATTTTCAAAGAAGTCGAATCACACGCATGTAGAATATCGCTTTCAGAGTGTTCTCGAACTTGGGAAAGGCTTTCACAGTTTAAAAAATCTTGAATATTTCACAAAACGGACCTTCATCCGAGTTGAAAAATATCTCAGAAGAACGCTTTTGCTCACAAATGGGACCGATCAAAAACTGAATTGCTCCAAAACTAAGACTGCTTATTTCAACTCCGATCTAACTTTTGATGAAAGTTTGTAGTAGGTTATCGAGGTCCAGGAACCCGAATATGTGGTTAGTTTTGTGCGTCGATCTCCCATTGATTCGAAATTGGGACCGTGAATAACAAGATGTTCTCCTTACACTAAGATGTTATTTTAAAGATTGTCCTAGAGATTTTGTGAGCATGTATTGACATATCAAAATGCCGTAGTATTCGTTGAAGCAGTAGAGTTTAATGATGAAGGTCGATATAGATATGGATGCTTTGCTGTGTTTGTATCTCACAGGTCAAAAATGGGTTTACTTAAAATTATTTTACAATCAAAAGTGTTTCTTAGATATACAATTCGGGAAACATTTGAATAGCCATTTAGGGCTCAAATTAATCGATCGGACTATCAATATCAGTATCGACAAAAAAGGCTTTTGCTTTATTCGGCTCCAAGTCGGGTGACTCGAAGCGACAATCCTTAGTTCTTTTATTTCTGTTTAAATCAATTGTCACATCAACAATTATTAATGGTAAGTCCGATTTTGAAAGTGAAGCGCTGATTAATTATTATATTTTTATTTAGATCGGGTCTTCGATCAACAAATACTAATGGTGAGTTCGATTTTGAAAGTTAAATGCTGATGAATTATATTATTTCTTTTTAGGTGAAACATCGCATACCGATCGCTCCACACACTGGAATCTGTAGGAACTGGCAGAACATATGCCTAAAAGTTGCCGTATTCTGTAGGAGAACACAGAATATCGCTAGAACATGGAAGCGGTATTCTGACAGCAAACTTTCCTGATTTTTTTAGTGAGTTCCGACCAACTTGCAACGCCTTTTGGCAAGATGCGCCGGAAAACATTCAGAAAAATAGGGAAAGTTTTCCGTCGGAATACTGCTTCCATGTTCCAGCAATATTGTGTGTTCTCCTACAGGATTCGGCGACTTTGAGGCATCTTTCCTGGTGGTTTCTACAGAACCCGGTTCGCTTTTAGAGAGTGGGTGTGTTTTGCAATGGATAGTGGTGGAAAACTATTTCCATAATGGAGCAAAGCACCCGGTGAATCTCTCATTCAATATTGCGTGGTGAATTATACGGAACCTCAAGTACGAAACCCCTGTTTTCAGCTGTTAAAATTAAGGCTTTTTACGAAACCCAATTTCTACGAAACCTCAAAGGATTTCGATTTGGTTGCGAAAATCCGATACCTTTGGGGTTTCGTGTAGTACCTTTTTTTTTCAGTGTAATCCTCAGTCCTTGGACACCCCTCATGACACCACATGCCACAGCAATCCATTGATAACCTGTTGACGAAACTATGTATCCACGACGAAAACATGGAGGGGTGTCCAAGGACTGAGGATTAGGAATTCCTCATCAGTTCCCCTACAGTTTCGCGCATAATAAAGGTAAAAATATGGAATATTCACGATAATTTTTGTTCTTACACTCATTTTCGCTTGCAAAATTGTGACAATCAATGATTTCATGCAAAAATTATTTTTAAAACAGCAATATCGCGACTTTCGTGAATGGTGAAACTGTGAGGGAACCTATAGTTGATTTCCTCTAGGAATTATCAGAGCGACACTGACAATTCATCGGCACATTAGGAATTCCTATTTCGCAGCCCTTGGAAACTGCTGGGCAACTCTACGGAGACTAATACATTGAACAACACAACAACCTCGATTAAAAAAGATTTGATTGGGAAAGATTTTACTGTACCAAAACCTATTTGATTTCCGACTGTTTTAAATACCTGTGTTGTAATAAAGAGAAGCAATCAGTGACCAACAATCCCAACAACTTGAATGAATCTTTACGACTGACAGAACCATGGAACTCCAAAGATACAAGTGCTAGGTCACAAAATGTGACAATTTCCCTTGGTCATGGTGTCTGCAATGTAGTTGGGCGATGTACTCTGGATCGCAATTCCGAGTTCAGTAGCTGCTTTGCGCGCTATTTCAATCGCTGGTATCGTTATTGGTGCAGTGTTGACTCCCGTATTTGCTCTGTGGTCATTCTATTCTACGGGAAAACGAATGAACGAGCATCTACATGCTTTATGCGATGATTTACTTGCCATAGCTGCATATTTCCTTGCTACAATATACAATAGTCATATTAATATGACACTATCGCCTGAGATTGTCTCATTCGAAGAAGCACTTTTAGAAACTGATGAAAATTCCTCCGGTGAAGAATAACGTTTTAATATTTATTGTCGTACTAGGGTGTGTGTGTCGGTGTGGAACTTCTGTCAACTCCTATTCTCTTACCCAGACCCAGACCCTCACACCCCTATGTTATTGTTCTTTTACGTCTTGATTGCTTACTTTTTTTAAATGAGTGTTTTACTGTCTTAATAGACATTTACGAAACGAGTCAGCGAAATAAAACTCTGCATTTCCTGACTTAATTTTTGACATCCGAAATAGAATGTTATTTTCAGCTAAGATCTGTGATCGAAAAACAACACTTGAAATTAGCAGATTGATTTATTATCTCCATCAAGAGATAAGTCGATCTATTTTCAAATCGGATTACTGTCACCCTTACCCACTATGTATCAGTATATATCAGTATGAATTTACATATTATTGAATTATTTTGTAATTTATTTCTGTCATGAACTCGCAACTGGCATGTCTTCCCATAGTTCTTACAAAATTGTATCATCTGCGGATGCATCAACTTGATCTTGTGCTTGTTCGCTTCTAGTCTGAAAGTATCGCATACTTGCATTCATTCGTCGCTGAATCAAAATGAAAAACAATGAACGTATGAAAGATAAAGACCGAATCCGCTTTACCATGTGATCGTGTAATTCAAGCATTGGAGGACGTAATCCATGTGCTGTTGATGCCAAACTTAAGAGATTGAGTTTGATGAGTGTCTGCATGAAGAATAGTGACTATATGTTTTTAAAAATTAAAAGATAATGCATCTCACGGCATTATTTCGCAATGCATCGAGGAGATATTGTGCGCCTTTGGCTTCGATTTGAGTGTTCACAAGATTAATTTCGGTTATTGCCTGTGTCAAGCAGCAAACGATCGATATACAAGAGAACAAGTCAGAATGAATCTCACTGTATTATTTCGTAATCCATTGGCCAAGTGTTGCGCACCTTCATCACCGATGTCATTATTTACAAGATTGAGTATAGAAAGTGTCTGTGCAAAAAATTACGATTTATGTTTCAAAAACGAAGAGAAAGCAAGTTTTACTGTATTGCTTTGCAAGCCATCAGCCAAATATTTTATCCCTTGCGCTTCAATTTCGTTATGCGCGATATTAAATGAAGTGAGTGTCTGTATGTGCGAAGTCTCATTAGTCATATGAAATAGATCCAGAGATAACGAGTCTCACGTTATTAGTCTGTAACGTATCGGCCAAATAATGCACTCCATGGTTTCCAATTGTATTGAAACTAACATCGAGTTTAGTAAGTATCTGAATTTAAAATACATGCAAAACACATATATGGCAACTAAAAGTAAGACTGAGTTTTACTGTGTTATCTCGCAAAGCATTAGCCAAATATTGTGCACCCACAGCAGTGATTGCATTGTTTTCCAGATTCAGCGTGGTAAGTGTCTGTATACAAAAAAAGCAACAACAAAAACTAACTCTATGAACACTAGAGAAAAGATGAGTCTCACCGTATGATTACGTAATACATCTGCAAGATACCGTGTCCCTTCGTCCTCGATTTGACCGCAAATAAGATTGAGCTCAGTGAGTGTCTGAATAAAACACAGATATAGGACAAATATATCATAGAAAATAAAAATTGCTCTCACCGTGTTATGGCGTAATGTATTAGAGAGATACATTCCTCCTTCAACACTAATAATATTGTAATCCAGGTTGAGTATGATAATTTTCTGTTTAAAGACATGGAAATGAGAATTCAAGATAAATTAAAAGAGAATGAATCTCACGGTGTTAGTTTTTAATGCATCCGATATATATCGTACTCCTGTTTTTGTAATTTTATTGGAGGAAAGATCGAGAGTAGTGAGTGACTATTAAAAAAAATTGTTACAAGTATTGAATAGAGAGGAAAACAATAAAAATCTTACATTATTATTTCTTAATGCATTAATCAGATAGCGGACTCCATCGTCTCCAACATTATTCGATGCAGGATAATCGCTGGACAAAGTCAGTGTTGCGAGTGTCTGTGTGAAAAAATGAAGATTGTATATGACAGTTGTCATGATAGAATAAGACGCACCGTATTCTTTTGTAACGCATCACAGAGAAATCGTGCTCCTTTGCTTGCAATTTTATTTCCAGAAAGATCTAAATTGGTCAGCGTCTGTGTCACAAAGTACATCAAAGGAATATGAAGATGATGGATAAAAAAAGCAGTTTTACCGCGTTAGTGCGTAAAGCATCAACCAGATATTTTACTCCTTCATCTTTTATTTGATTGTTTAAAAGATTGAGTGTGGTCAATGTCTACATAAAAACATAGACAACATGTATCTATGAGAGACAATGCTAAAATAAGTTTTACTTTATTGCTGTGTAATGCACGAGCCAGATATTCTGCTCCTTCTCTTGTAATTTTATTCGACGAAAGATTCAGTGTAGTAAGTGTCTATTTAAAAATAGGACGATAGGTATTTCAAACTGATCTGTTGAGTATGAATCTCACTTCATTATCTGCTATAGCTTCAGCAAGGCATTGTACGCCAACTTTTCCTATATTATTCAATCTGTGCCAATAACAACCTAGATTCAGTGCGGTGAGTGCCTGGAAGAAACAATAACAATTGCATATGAGACGTACGAACAGAAAATGGAAATCACTGAGTTTGTTTGTAATGCTTCAGCTAAATGCTGTGCTCCTTTGCTTTGAATTTTATTCCCAGAGATGTCTAGTATTGAGAGTGTCTATTCGAAACAATTCAAAGTCAATGACACATAGTAGACAACTCGCAATTGAGAGTCACCTTGTTGTTTTTTAGTGTATTTGCAAGATATATTGCTCCCCAGTCACCAATTTCATTTCCACTAAGATTCAATGTGGTGAGTGTCTGAATGAAAAGAACAAAAATAGTGGATTTGCATTTAAGCAATACCTATAGAATATGTATCTTACCATATTAGTGTGTAATGCATTAGCCATATGGTGAATACCATCAGCTCCGATCTTGTTGTTTGTAAGATTCAGACTTATAAGTGTCTGTGCGAAAACGTGCACACATACATGTATGAGAGAGATAGCAAAAAAAAGACAATTAGAATTACCTGATTGCGTTTTAATGCATTGGCCAAATATCGGGTTCCTTTGTCTCCAATATTATTGCCATTAAGATCAAGTATAGTGAGTGTCTGAACGAAAACATAGAACACGCTCAGAAACGAGGCAAACAAGAAATGACGCTTACCGTGTTACAACTTAATGCGCTGGCTAGATAGGATGCTCCTTCGGCTCCAATGTTATTAGCATCGAGGTTTAGTGTAGTAATTGTCTATGTAGAAACGTTGAAATTAGGAATTGAGATAATTAGTTTAACATAGAATGAGAATTACCGTATTATATTTTAATGGATAAGACAGACGTACTGCTCCTTCTCTTTTAATTCCTTTGCAGTAGAGATCCAGATTGGTGAGTGACTATGCGAAAATAAATCTGACGAACTGTTTTGATAATGAATTTTAACGCTAAGAGAACAAAGATCATTCCTGCAATTGGATTCTATGGGTATACCTAATCAGATTTTATCTGCACTTTTATGAAATGAATGAAATGTTATTGCACTTTGCGATGTAAATCGATACGATGATCCCAGTTAATAGAGTTCAATGAGTTTTTTTCACATTTGAAATCCAATATAAGATCTGACGAGGGTCAACTGTAAGCGACATGTTTCGATTGGTACCCAACAGACGAAATAAACTTCATGCATTGAATTCCTTCTTAAGTTCACAACTTCAATTTGTCGTAGGATTTTCGTCTGTCAACCAAATCCAATTATATTATGTGAAGTTTATTCAAGGGGGAAACAGCAGACTCCATGACTCCATGACTCCGCTTGACTCCGCTTGACTCCGCTTGACTCCGCTTGACTCCGCTTGACTCCGCTTGACTCCGCTTGACTCC